TTCAGAGTGTTGAAGACCGTCAGTCATATGATATAGGGTAGCACAGGCTCGGGAGTTCTAGACTGTCTGGAAACATTACTAGCTGTCAAGTCCTTGGGAAGATCTCAATTGCATACTCCTCGTGTCCTCTCTACAAGTCTCCTTCTCAAATCCTCATTGGATGAAAAAGCCAGATGACCCTCCCCTCTGACCTTGTCCTCCAATGGGTTTTGAGAAGGAAACGAGGAGAGAGGACGCAAGGAGTATGCAATTGAGATCTTCCCCTTGCTGTCTCTATCATTGCGTCCTCCGTCCTTGAACACAGAACAAGGGAGAGCTCGGGTTGTTGTTTTGAAAGTCTATTGAAAAGTTTGAATACTAACTAGCTACCTTTTTTTTGAATTTGGATCCCACGACGGGGGTTGGCATCAGTTGCTGGGACCGCTACCATCTGTCCAGTGATCCTGCCGACTAAGGTGTAGTAGCTAGCCTAGCTGCTAGCCAGGTGCCTATCAAGCTAGCTGGGTTTTCTTGAGGGCTTGAACGCATCCCGCAATGCAGTTAGCCCTTGCGGCTGGGACCGTGGATTGTCCCGGGCTTGTGGCTGTCTAGATCCCTGCTGTTTGTTGTCGTTTCCAGTCTTCCCAGCGACTTGCCCCGTCTGGAACTGCGAGGAGTAACAGCGTAATGTTGCTACCATGACAAAGACCAAAGCCAGTGGGAGTACCGTTGAGGACAGTGGTGTGTCTCTATCACAGGTATCACAGGTGAAGGATCTTTTAAACAAACACAAATATTTCTACAAGCAGTTGTTAAAACAACAAAAAAATAGCTTCAAGTGTTGTGTCCAAATACTGGTGGAGTCAACTAAAAAAGAATGGACGACCTGACCAGAGAGGTCAATGACCTGAAGAACAGTTTGCAGTTCTCCCTGGGTCAGCTCGATGAGTTTAAACAGGAGAACGGCAAGATGACAGCAATCTGTAAGTCATTGAGAGAGGACATCAGTTCTGTATGTGAATCCATGATGACAATGACGGAGAAATCGGATCATCTCGAGGGACAATCAAGGCAGAACAACATTTTTGTGAACGGAATTGCAGAATCTCCACATGAGACCTGGACGGAGTCTGAGGACAAAGTGAGGGAAATGATCTCTGAGAAATTGAAGATGGACCACAGGAAGATTGAGGTGGAGCTCGCCCACAGGACTGGAAAACCCACCACCGGCCCAGGTGACAGGTCCAGGCCGATAGTGGTCAAGTTCCTGAGGTTCAAGGACAAGGTAGCTGTTCTGGAAAGAGCCAAGATCTTAAGAGGAACGAATATCTTCCTCAACGAGGGCTATCCTGAAGCTGTGCGCCAGAAGAGGAAAGAACTTATCCCAGCCATGAAAGCTGCCAGAGCGCGTGGGGACATTGCTTACATCCGCTATGACAGGCTCATTGTCCACCCTCCCTCCCAGAAGCCTGGAAGGAATGAGAGAGCCAAGCCTACTGGTTCGTAGCTTCAAACCTTCAGCACAAACACACTTACACCAACTGATTAATGGACTGTATATATTTTTATCTTCCTTTGTTTGCCCTTTTCCATATTATGTCTATCTCTGATAAGCTACCCAGGAAAGGGCTGACAAGATATTAATATATGTAACCTTAGAAATAAGGTTCATGATAACGTTCATATATGTGACCGACCGGCTCGATTCGGTCTTATGTAGCAAAATTTGAAATTGTGTTTTTTTTACATAGGATAAAAGTAGAGACTCAGAGCTAGACAATGGTATATCATACACTACAGCTGAGGAACAATGGGAAAGTAATTCTGCTTTGAAAGTTGATAAACTTGAAACCTCACTTTTGAGAAAATGGCCCTTGAATGTTTTGGTAAACCTACTGGAGAGCTCTGCTTTGTCTACACCCATTCAGCTTCGTTCACACCCTCTTAAGCTTTAGCCCCACCCATCTCTTTAAGGGCTGATCCGAGCGTTCTGTCCTAACAGCAGTCAAGCACCCACGCTAACTGGCTAACGTTGCTTGCTTGCTTGCTATCTACTTCCAGACACAAATGAGAGAATTGCTCACTCTGACCATTTTTACTCGCCCTAGCATAGCTGGTGAGGCGTTGGTGACTGCAACTGTGCTGCTGACAACAATTTAATTACGCTTTTTTGCCAACGTTTACTGACACCGGCCATATTCAATGGGTGTTGAGCGTTCGTATATTCATCAGTTATCCCTTGCCTCCTGTAGCTCAGTTGGTAGAGCATGGCGCCAGGGTTGTGAGTTCGTTTCCCACGGGGGGCTAGTATGAAAAAAAATAAAAGAAATGTATGAAAAATGTATGCACTCACTAACTGTAAGTCGCTCTGGATAAAAGTGTCTGCTAAATGACTAAAAATGTTAAAAAAAAATCTGTGCTCTTGCACACTCAGACGAGAGGAGAGTGCGCTGAAATCTGAGTAGATAGCCAAAGCTAATTTACCAGCTACGTCTATCGACAGTTGTCGCAGTGACATCATAATAGTGGAGTCTTTTTGTTAAGACATGTAGCTAGCTAGCTAAACAATGAACAATAATCCCAACTCATGACGGTACTAGCCTGCATGAATCTGCAGGTAGCTAACCAACCAGGTTCAATGTTAGCTAGCTAACATGAGGCTATATCTAGCAAAGCAAATGGCTCTGAGATACGAATAATATTAATACACAGATCATACACGTAACGTTAGCTAGCGAGACAGCCAGCTGACGTTAGCTAGCTAGCTAACAGTACGTTTTAACTTGCAATGAAAACGTCTTTCTGACAAAATTAGAAACGTGTAATATATGAAAATGTAGCTAGCTAGACTATCTTACCCGTATACATGGATGGATGCTTCTCCCTCTCTGTCATGGATGCCATGGTTGCCCTTAGTTTGAAGATGTAATCTGGAGACAGGTGTTTTCTCCATCTCCTTAGCTATCATACTCTAATTCCACTGATTTCAAAACTCGGTCGTCTCATTAGATAGGATTAACTACACATACTGACCAGCTCAAATAGACAGAAGCGAGCTATATGGCAGACCAATCCGAACTCATCTCTTGACATGTCCAGCCCACTCATTATCTCAGCCAATCATGGCAAGCGGGAAGGTTGCTGTCTTTTTCTGTGGCTAAACCAACTAGGCTCGTAATTTTACAATTCTATTGGTATTTACAGATGGCATACACGATTGTTATTAAGGCACATGAAAGTAAACATGATCCAGAAGGCATTTCTGCCAAAAAACGCATTTAGATTTTTAAAAAGACGTTTACGTTCAAATGGCTCTCCTGTGAAGTAGTGACACGTGACATACGCCTAGTTTCCTAAAATATATACTGAACAAAAAATATAAACGCAACATGCAACAATTTCAACAATTTCACAGAGTTACATTTCATATAAGGAAATCAGTCAATTGAAATAAATAAATTATAAATTCATTAGGCCCTTTATGGATTTCACATGACTGGACAGGGGTGCAGCCATGGGTGGGCCTGGGAGGGCATAGGCGCACCCACTTGGGAGTCAGGCCCACCCACTGGGCAGCCAGGCCCAGCCAATCAGAATGAGTTTTTCCCCACAAAAGGGCTTAATTACAGACAGAAATACTCCTCAGTTTCATCCGTTGTCTGGGTGGCTGGTCTCAGACGATCCCGCAGGTGAAGAAACCGGAAGTGGAGGTCCTGGGCTGGCCAAATTCTCAAAAATGAACATTCAAATATCTGGCAACAGCTCTGGTGGACATTCATGCAGTCCGCATGCCAATTGCACGCTCCCTTAAAACTTGAGAGATCTGTGGCATTGTGTTGTGTGACAAAACTGCACATTTTAGAGTGGCCTTTTATTGTCCCCAGCACAAGGTGCACCTGTGTAATGATCATGCTGTATAATCAGCTTCTTGATATGCCACACCTGTCAGGTGGATGGATTATCTTGGCAAAGGAGAAATGCTCACTAACAGGGAAGTAAACAAATTTACAAACACTACAGGAACAAGATCATCCACATGTATCGATCACATTTTTACTAATACTGTAGAACTTTGTTCTAAAGCTGTATCCGTACCCATTTGGATGCAGTGATCACAATATAGTGGCTATATCCAGGAAAGCCAAAGTTCCAAAAGCTGGGCCTAAAATAGTGTATAAGAGATCATACAAAAGATTTTGCTGTGACTCTTATGTGGATGATGTTAAACATAATTTGTCGGTCTGATGTGATTTTAATAAGGAGCATCCAGACGCTTCTTACAATTATTGTTAAAAATGCACCTGTTAAGAAACTGACTGATAAAACTGTTAAGGCTCCATGGATTGATGAGGAATTGAAAAACTGTCTGGTTGAAAGAGACGGGGCAAAAGGAGTGGCTAATAAGTCTGGCTGCACATCTGACTGGCTGACTTCAAGCAAATTGAGAAATTAATAAAGCAACACCTCACGGCACAACGCCTCTCCCCCATGTGACCTACTTGTTGTGTACTGACATGTTTGTGTAACTGATAGATGCACACACACACACACACACACAAACACACACACACACACTACATGTTCATGTTTTTAAATGTGTGTAAATTGTTAAGTCTATTGTCTGTAATGTATCTTTCGTTATGTGTCGGACCTCAGTAAGACTAGCTGTTGGCATCAGCTAATGGGGATCCTTATAAACCAAATCAAAAAAGTCCTCAACTCCTCTCAAAGATCATTGGAGGAGGAGGAGGTCAGAGGGAAGGACATTGTATCATCTCCTCCAATGAGTATTGAGAGGACAGCCCTAGTTTCATCAGGGTTAGATGGAGATGGCAGTTTTTAAATGAACACCTTGTTTGCTGGCACTGGTCCAGTTCCTGCCCTACTAAATGCGCTGACATTACATCGATTCAACCAATGGTTACGTGCCACATCATGGACTGTGCAGTCGGGCGTCAGATTGCTATAACATATGTTGTTAGCTGATATGTTAAATGCCTATCCAGGCGTTGTAAGATCTGTCATGCATCTTACAATGTGTAGTCGGGGCAGGAACTCGACCAATGTCTTAAGGTCCATTTCCTATTTCCTCTCCACAGAGGAAGTCCCGTCTCCTACAGACCTGCAGTCTTCGAGGTGTCTGACGTGAAGATCACCATCACCTGGACGGGGCCCCCAACTGACGTGTCCGGGTACAGAGTGACTGTGGCCCCCGTCGGCCCCGCCGGGACCCCTCGGACAGAGCTACAGCTCCCCATCACACACAACGCCTACGCAGAGGTCACCCACCTCACCCCCGGGACCCCGTACCGCTTCAGCATCTACACCGTCCAGGGAGGAGAGGAGAGCCAGCCACTGGTCGGAGAGCAGGCTACCAGTGAGTACAGGCAAACGTATTCCGTAAACCAGTGTCAATAAGCTTAGGACTGTATGTATTTAGTGCTACAGTCTCGGCGAGGCAAGGAATCGCTAATGTTGATCACATAATGAGTAGTGGTTTTTTTTGGATGCAAGGTGAATTGTCGATGAAAGATGAGTGAATCTTACTGGCAACTTTGTCGATCTCAAACACACACTTTTTTGTCCACAGAGCCTGATTCCCCTGCTGATGTCCATTTCACCAACGTAACTGAGGACAGTGCTCTGATGGCGTGGGTGCCCCCCCGGGCCCACATCACCGGATACCGTCTGTTCCTGACCCTGGAGGGCTCCAACCCTAAACTGCTGCGCCTGCCAGCCCGCCTGTCTCACTACACCCTGCTCAACCTCCAACCAGACACAGAGTACACCGCTACTCTGCACGCTGAGCAGGACAATACGCTCAGTGAGGGAGCTTCCAGAACCTTCTCCACCAGTGAGTAAGACTGTTGTTCTAGGTCTTCACTGTCATTTTTTAGTTTGTTGCTTCAAAATATTATTACATTTTTTTGTTACCAAGAGTTGCTGAATATCTTCACATCCTCTCTCTCAGGCCTCCTATGGTCTAACTGTCTGAGAGGTCATTGTTCTGCAAAATAAGTTATTTGATAGGTCATCTATGAAACACGTATGACCAGCCAGGTCAAGGCCAGGCGTTTTGGCAGAGTCATAAACATACAGTAGGGTCTGCTTTGAGCAGGGGGGGGTAGGACTTTGGGAGTTCCTTGTTCCTTTGAATAGTCCTGACCCCTAACCCCTTACCTCTGACCCTGTGTGTTCTCTCCAGCTCAGCTAATGGGCAACACCCCTCGCTTCAGTACTGATGTCACAGACACCTCCATCATCATCTCCTGGACCCCCGTGCCCCGAGTGGAATACAAGGTATGCTCGCACGCACACACACACACACACACACACACACAGGTCCATCTATGTCACACTAGAGTTGTGCTCTGGCTTCTGTGATGCTGGGAAAGGGCTAACGTCGTAACTCTTCAGTTTTGTGTGTGTGTGTGTCTCTGTGTCTCTCTCGCTCGGTCTCCCCGTGTAGTTGACGGTGAGGCCCAGTCATGGAGGCGAGGCCCCCAGAGATGTAACCTCTAGCTCAGGCAGCATCTACATCTCAGGCCTGACCCCCGGGGTTGAGTACACCTACAGCGTTCAGCCAATCGTCAACGGACACGAGCAGGACAACCCAATCACACGGCGCGTAGTCACACGTAAGTCCGAGAATAACGACTTAGTCTGGGTTTGTCAGCAACTGCTAACTTTGTGCAGTAAAAATCAGGCTTTACTTATGCTGGGTCTCCACACGTTAGTGAACAGAGGATAGAGATGATGTTCTCCATCACCATCAATCAGAGAATAATGACTTTGGCCTCAAAAGGTTCCCTACTTTTCTTAGACTTTTTAATATTCCTGGAGCGTTGGTCATCGACAACCGTTTTCTAGCGTATCCGAGCCTGGGCAAAAACATTTTTAATTTTTTTGCCTCTATTTGTGACCTAGTTACTTAGTTAGAATGTCTCTAGTTGTGACCTGGTTACCTACAGTTGAAGTCAGAAGTTTACATACACTTAGGTTGGAGTCATTCAAACTCGTTTTTCAACCACTCCACAAATGTATTTTTAACAAACTATAGTTTTGCCAAGTCGGTTAGGACATCTACTTTATGCATGACACAAGTAATTTTCCCAACAATTGTTTACAGACAAATTATTTCACTTATAATTCACTGTATCACAATTCCAGTGGGTCAGATGTTTACATACACTAAGTTGACTTGGCTTTAGAAGCTTCTGATAGGCTAACTGACATAATTTGAGTCAATTGGAGGTGTACCTGTGGATGTATTTCAAGGCCTACCTTCAAACGCAGTGCCTCTTTGCTTGACATCATGGGAAAATCAAAAGAAATCAGCCAAGACCTCAGAAAAACAATTGTAGACGTCCACAAGTCTGGTTCATCTTTGGGAGCAATTTCCAAACGCCTGAAGGTACCACGTTCATCTGTACAAACAATAGTACGCAAGTATAAACACCATGGGACCACGCAGCCGTCATACCGCTCAGGAAGGAGACGCGTTCTGTCTCCTAGAGATGAACGTACTTTGGTGCGAAAAGTGCGAATCAATCCCAGAACAACAGCAAAGGACCTTGTGAAGATGCTGGAGGAAACAGGTACAAAAGTATCTATATCCACAGTAAAACGAGTCCTATATCGACATAACCTGAAAGGCCGCTCAGCAAGGAAGAAGCCACTGCTCCAAAACCGCCATAAAAAAGCCAGACTTAGGTTTGCAACTGCACATGGGGACAAAGATCGTACATTTTGGAAAAATGTCCTCTGGTCTGATGAAACAAAAATGTAACTGTTTGGCCATAATGACCATCATTATGTTTGGAGGAAAAAGGGGGTTGCTTGCAAGCTGAAGAACACCATCCCAACCGTGAAGCACGGGGGTGGCAGCATCATGCTGTGGGGGTGCTTTGCTGCAGGAGGGACTGGTGCACTTCACAAAATAGATGGCATCATGAGGAAGGAAAATTATGTGGATATATTGAAGCAACATCTCAAGACATCAGTCAGGAAGTTAAAGCTTGGTTGCAAATGGGTCTTCCAAATGGACAATGACCCCAAGCATACTTCGAAAGTTGTGGCAAAATGGCTTAAGGACAACAAAGTCAAGGTATTGGAGTGGCCATCACAAAGCCCTGACCTCAATCCTATAGAAAAGTTGTGGGCTGTCACGGGTTCTGAAGTGGATGCGGTGGTGGAGTCAAGCGCAGGACACAGAAGAATAGTCAAGACGACTTTACTCAAAATGAAAATAAATACCAGCTAAGGCAAGGACACAGAACCTAAACATGCTAGACAGGCGGACAATAACACACAAAATGCAAACCTAAGGGGAACTTATAGGAGACATAATCAAGACAGAATACGAGACAGGTGCACCAACTAGACAAAACCAAACAAACATCGAAAACATCAAGCGGTAGTAGCTAGTACTCCGGGGACGACGAACGCCGAAGCCTGCCCGAGCAAGGAGGAGGAGCAGCCTCGGCGGTCTCTGTGACATGGGCAGAACTGAAAAAGTGTGTGCGAGCAAGGAGGCCTACAAACCTGACTCAGTTACACCAGCTCTGTCAGGAGCAATCGGCCAAAATTCACCCAACTTATTGTGGGAAGCTTGTGGAAGGCTACCCGAAACATTTGACCCAAGTTAAACAATTTAAAGGCAATGCTACCAAATACTAATTGAGTTTATGTAAACCTCTGACCCACTGGGAATGTGATGAAAGAAATAAAAGCTGAAATAAATCATTCTCTCTACTATTATTCTGACATTTCACATTCTTAAAATAAAGTGGTGATCCTAACTGACCTAAAACAGGGAATTTTTACTAGGATTAAATGTCAGGAATTGTGAAAAACTGAGTTTAAATGTATTTGGCTAAGGTGTATGTAAATTTCCGACTTCAACTGTAGTTAGTTAGAATGTCTCTATTTGATCAGGCAATTCTATTGACTTTAAATCTACTTTGTTTCCTTGGCTGAGTTGCTCAACTTAGTTGACCTTAAATCCAATTATTAAGAACAGTAACGTGACCTTAGCATATCTACTATTTTTATAAAGGAAATGTGTGTTGCAATTTAACCACACCATTCTATTGAGTAACCGTATATTACCCCAAAAGAGTTGCATCTGGATCAGGGACGTCAGAAATCTCTTCCTGTTCCTTTTTCCTCTGGTTGTTCCTCTTTATCAGTTCTGACCAGGTTATAGTAATGAGGAACCATTCTGACCAGGTTATTGTAGTGAGTAACCATTCTGACCAGGTTATTGTAGTGAGTAACCATTCTGACCAGGTTATTGTATTGAGGAACCATTCTGACCAGGTTATAGTAGTGAGTAACCATTCCGACCAGGTTATTGTAGTGAGTAACCATTCTGACCAGGTTATAGTAGTGAGGAACCATTCTGACCAGGTTTTAGTAGTGAGTAACCATTCTGACCAGGTTATAGTAGTGAGTAACCATTCTGACCAGGTTATAGTAGTGAGTAACCATTCTGACCAGGTTATAGTAGTGAGTAACCATTCTGACCAGGTTTTAGTAGTGAGGAACCATTCTGACCAGGTTATAGTAGTGAGTAACCATTCTGACCAGGTTATTGTAGTGAGTAACCATTCTGACCAGGTTATTGTAGTGAGTAACCATTCTGACCAGGTTATTGTAGTGAGTAACCATTCTGACCAGGTTATAGTAGTGAGGAACCATTCTGACCAGGTTATTGTAGTGAGTAACCATTCTGACCAGGTTATAGTAGTGAGTAACCATTCTGACCAGGTTATAGTAGTGAGGAACCATTCTGACCAGGTTATTGTAGTGAGTAACCATTCTGACCAGGTTATTGTAGTGAGTAACCATTCTGACCAGGTTATAGTAGTGAGTAACCATTCTGACCAGGTTATAGTAGTGAGTAACCATTCTGACCAGGTTATAGTAGTGAGGAACCATTCTGACCAGGTTATAGTAGTGAGGAACCATTCTGACCAGGTTATTGTAGTGAGGAACCATTCTGACCAGGTTATAGTAGTGAGGAACCATTCTGACCAGGTTATAGTAGTGAGTAACCATTCTGACCAGGTTATTGTAGTGAGGAACCATTCTGACCAGGTTATTGTAGTGAGGAACCATTCTGACCAGGTTATAGTAGTGAGTAACCATTCTGACCAGGTTATTGTAGTGAGTAACCATTCTGACCAGGTTATAGTAGTGAGTAACCATTCTGACCAGGTTATAGTAGTGAGTAACCATTCTGACCAGGTTATTGTAGTGAGTAACCATTCTGACCAGGTTATAGTAGTGAGTAACCATTCTGACCAGGTTATTGTAGTGAGTAATCATTCTGACCAGGTTATTGTAGTGAGTAACCATTCTGACCAGGTTATAGTAGTGAGTAACCATTCTGACCAGGTTATAGTAGTGAGTAACCATTCTGACCAGGTTATAGTAGTGAGTAACCATTCTGACCAGGTTATAGTAGTGAGTAACCATTCTGACCAGGTTATTGTAGTGAGGAACCATTCTGACCAGGTTATTGTAGTGAGGAACCATTCTGACCAGGTTATTGTAGTGAGGAACCATTCTGACCAGGTTATTGTAGTGAGTAACCATTCTGACCAGGTTATAGTAGTGAGTAACCATTCTGACCAGGTTATAGTAGTGAGTAACCATTCTGACCAGGTTATTGTAGTGAGTAACCATTCTGACCAGGTTATTGTAGTGAGGAACCATTCTGACCAGGTTATAGTAGTGAGGAACCATTCTGACCAGGTTATTGTAGTGAGTAACCATTCTGACCAGGTTATTGTAGTGAGTAACCATTCTGACCAGGTTATAGTAGTGAGTAACCATTCTGACCAGGTTATAGTAGTGAGTAACCATTCTGACCAGGTTATTGTAGTGAGTAACCATTCTGACCAGGTTATAGTAGTGAGGAACCATTCTGACCAGGTTATAGTAGTGAGGAACCATTCTGACCAGGTTATAGTAGTGAGGAACCATTCTGACCAGGTTATAGTAGTGAGTAACCATTCTGACCAGGTTATTGTAGTGAGGAACCATTCTGACCAGGTTATAGTAGTGAGTAACCATTCTGACCAGGTTATTGTAGTGAGTAACCATTCTGACCAGGTTATTGTAGTGAGGAACCATTCTGACCAGGTTATAGTAGTGAGGAACCATTCTGACCAGGTTATAGTAGTGAGGAACCATTCTGACCAGGTTATAGTAGTGAGGAACCATTCTGACCAGGTTATAGTAGTGAGGAACCATTCTGACCAGGTTATTGTAGTGAGGAACCATTCTGACCATGTTATTGTAGTGAGTAACCATTCTGACCAGGTTATTGTAGTGAGTAACCATTCTGACCAGGTTATAGTAGTGAGTAACCATTCTGACCAGGTTATAGTAGTGAGTAACCATTCTGACCAGGTTATAGTAGTGAGTAACCATTCCGACCAGGTTATTGTAGTGAGTAACCATTCTGACCAGGTTATTGTAGTGAGTAACCATTCTGACCAGGTTATTGTAGTGAGTAACCATTCTGACCAGGTTATAGTAGTGAGGAACCATTCTGACCAGGTTATTGTAGTGAGGAACCATTCTGACCAGGTTATAGTAGTGAGGAACCATTCTGACCAGGTTATTGTAGTGAGGAACCATTCTGACCAGGTTATAGTAGTGAGTAACCATTCTGACCAGGTTATAGTAGTGAGTAACCATTCTGACCAGGCTTTAGTAGTGAGTAACCATTCTGACCAGGTTTTAGTAGTGAGTAACCATTCTGACCAGGTTATAGTAGTGAGTAACCATTCTGACCAGGTTATTGTAGTGAGTAACCATTCTGACCAGGTTATAGTAGTGAGCAGGGGCGGTGTGTTCAATAGGGCGATATGGGCGACGCACTGCCAAACGGGAAAAGGAAGGGATTTTTTTTCTAATCAATTATATCACGGCAACAGTAGTTATCAGTGTTGTAATCTAGACGTCTGATCTGCCACAGTGCCACTAAATGTCCAATCAGGCTAAAGTCGTGCTTCAAATGCCCCCCCCCCCCTTTTGGGGCGATTTCAGTCAGGTTGAAAATCGCCCAGAAGTCTGTCATAGACTCCCATGTAAAATCTATTTTTTTCAAATATCAGAGCTTTCAATACAATCTCTATGGGTTTCTGAGGGCTTGCACTTACGCGCTTTCGTCATACGTAACGTAACCATGAACGTAACTAAGAAAAGAGCGGGTAGCCTCATCAATCAATTCACTACTACTGTAAAAATGGCTAGGCTTCAGTGCAACTCGATTGTGTCTTTGAAAGAAGTTCCTTTTTGTCGGCGAACAAATGAAGATAAATTGGCAACGAAACAATTAGGACCTCCCAGACCAAATTTAATAATTCAACAGGTTTCTACTAAAGGGGGGAAGTCCTACACCCGAGGATTTTCCAAAAATTGGTACGAACGAAAAACCTGGCTAGCAGGCTGCGATGTAGCTAATGCAGTCTTCTGCTACCCCCTGCTTACTCTTTCACCCTGAAGGCGGCACGGCAGACAGCACCGCTTGGACAGCGACTGGTGTGTAACGGACATGCACCATCTTTCAGGAAAGATTAAGAAACATGAGCTGTCAAAGACCCACATGGATAGCTGTTTGAGATTGTCTGCTTTGGGGAGAGTGAACATTCCCACTCAACTGGATGAGGGATACAGGCTAGCTGTCCGCCGCCACAACGATGAGGTTAGTGTTGATAATCACAAGTTTACTGGAGAACTGAAACTGACAAGGCTGACAAGATAGGACCCTTTTGTCCATTGTTATTGGATAGGAACAGAACTTATAACCAGCTCCTGACCTAAATAGATCTTAGCACAACATTTTACTCAACATATCATATTCCATATTCACTATAACAAATATATTTACTACGACATTAGCAAGAACCGCCACATCCTCAGCCGGCTAATCCAGTGTGTGAAGTTTTGCGGAGTGTTTGAGTTAGCTTTGCGAGGCAAAGATGAAACTGAGGGCTCCACCAACCCTGGTAAGCCAACACTTTTGAGATCAGTCAATAAATGCTTCTGGTATTGACTTATATGCTGCCCCTGTCTTCATGTTGTTGCTGGACATATCTTTTTTAAAATGTGTGTAGGTCACCTAAATCATCAGAAAAATTGCCCCCCCTGAGAATTTTTTCAGGAGCCGCCACTGGTAGTGAGTAACCATTCTGACCAGGTTATAGTAGTGAGTAACCATTCTGACCAGGTTATAGTAGTGAGTAACCATTCTGACCAGGTTATAGTAGTGAGGAACCATTCTGACCAGGTTTTAGTAGTGAGTAACCATTCTGACCAGGTTATAGTAGTGAGTAACCATTCCGACCAGGTTATAGTAGTGAGTAACCATTCCGACCAGGTTATAGTAGTGAGTAACCATTCTGACCAGGTTATAGTAGTGAGGAACCATTCTGACCAGGTTATTGTAGTGAGGAACCATTCTGACCAGGTTATTGTAGTGAGGAACCATTCTGACCAGGTTATAGTAGTGAGTAACCATTCTGACCAGGTTATAGTAGTGAGTAACCATTCTGACCAGGTTATTGTAGTGAGTAACCATTCTGACCAGGTTTTAGTAGTGAGTAACCATTCTGACCAGGTTATAGTAGTGAGTAACCATTCTGACCAGGTTATTGTAGTGAGTAACCATTCTGACCAGGTTATAGTAGTGAGTAACCATTCTGACCAGGTTATAGTAGTGAGTAACCATTCTGACCAGGTTATAGTAGTGAGTAACCATTCTGACCAGGTTATAGTAGTGAGTAACCATTATGACCAGGTTATAGTAGTGAGTAACCATTCTGACCAGGTTATAGTAGTGAGTAACCATTCTGACCAGGTTATAGTAGTGAGTAACCATTATGACCAGGTTATTGTAGTGAGTAACCATTCTGACCAGGTTATTGTAGTGAGTAACCATTCTGACCAGGCTTTAGTAGTGAGTAACCATTCTGACCAGGTTATAGTAGTGAGTAACCATTCTGACCAGGTTATTGTAGTGAGTAACCATTCTGACCAGGTTATTGTAGTGAGTAACCATTCTGACCAGGTTATAGTAGTGAGTAACCATTCTGACCAGGTTATAGTAGTGAGTAACCATTCTGACCAGGTTATAGTAGTGAGTAACCATTCTGACCAGGTTATAGTAGTGAGTAACCATTCTGACCAGGTTATTGTAGTGAGTAACCATTCTGACCAGGCTTTAGTAGTGAGTAACCATTCTGACCAGGTTATAGTAGTGAGGAACCATTCTGACCAGGTTATAGTAGTGAGTAACCATTCTGACCAGGTTATTGTAGTGAGTAACCATTCTGACCAGGTTATAGTAGTGAGTAACCATTCTGACCAGGTTATAGTAGTGAGGAACCATTCTGACCAGGTTATAGTAGTGAGTAACCATTCTGACCAGGTTATTGTAGTGAGTAACCATTCTGACCAGGTTATAGTAGTGAGTAACCATTCTGACCAGGTTATAGTAGTGAGTAACCATTCTGACCAGGTTATAGTAGTGAGTAACCATTCTGACCAGGTTATAGTAGTGAGTAACCATTCTGACCAGGTTATAGTAGTGAGTAACCATACCAGTCAGAGACAGTTGCTTGGAAGAGAGATGTCAATTTATAGAATCATCTCTTGTTCCTCTTGTCCTCCTCCAGCCCTGTCTCCTCCTACTGACCTCAACCTGGAGTCCCACCCTGACACCGGAAAGCTGACTGTCCAGTGGAACGAAGCCTCCACCCCAGGTTAGAACACACACACACACACACACACACACACACATTCCACCGTGGAAAGAAGCCTCCACCCCACGTTAGAACACACACACACACACACACACACACACACACACACACACACACACACACACACACACACACACACTCACTCCCCAGTGGGACGAAGCCAGCACATTTTCCATTGTCCATTTACTTAGAAGTCTAGGTAACAAAAATATGTATTTTTGCTTTCAACCCAACCCCGGAGTCACACACATACCCACAATGCAGTGTTTATACTAACACACCTCATATGACCAAGCTCAAAAGAAGGATCGTGGTTTCTGGATTTAGGACAGAGATTACGGAAACGATATGTCCGGACTAAATGACTGATTTGACTTCTCTGTCCACTCTCTATCCTCTGTCCATTGTCACGTGTTCTCCATGCCATCCAATCAGACCTCACCGGCTACAGAGTGACAGGCACCCCGACCAATGGGCAGCAAGGAAACAGCCTGGAGGAGTTTGTGAAGGCGGGCGAGACCTCGTGCACTCTGGAGAACCTCAGCCCTGGCGTGGAGTACAACATCAGCGTCTTCACCGTTAAAGACGACATGGAGAGTGTTCCCGTCTCCACCACCGTTACTCAAGGTAGGTGTGGGCGTGGCCTAATGTCAGGTGACCTTTGACCCTATGACCCCTGCCCTGTGAATTATGATGTGATAATGTGGACAGGAGTGTCCGGCAGGGTTCCATCATATCTCTCTTACTCCAACATTTCTCACCGTAATATAAAGCCTACAATGTCTTATGACAAGAGATTGCTAGCTAGTATTATTAACATGCCCAGTGATGTCACTACAACCAGATAACAACCTGCTGTTAGTGATGCTGTTAGTGATGCTGTTAGTGATGCTGCAGCCCTGCTGTTAGTGATGCTGCAGCTCTGCTGTTAGTGATGCTGCAGCTCTGCTGTTAGTGATGCTGTTAGTGATGCTGCAGCCCTGCTGTTAGTGATGCTGCAGCCCTGCTGTTAGTGATGCTGCAGCCCTGCTGTTAGTGATGCTGTTAGTGATGCTGCAGCCCTGCTGTTAGTGATGCTGTTAGTGATGCTGCAGCTCTGCTGTTAGTGATGCTGCAGCCCTGCTGTTAGTGATGCTGCAGCTCTGCTGTTAGTGATGCTGCAGCCCTACTGTTAGTGATGCTGCAGCTCTGCTGTTAGTGATGCTGCAGCCCTGCTGTTAGTGATGCTGCAGCCCTGCTGTTAGTGATGCTGCAGCCCTGCTGTTAGTGATGCTGCAGCTCTGCTGTTAGTGATGCTGCAGCCCTGCTGTTAGTGATGCTGCAGCCCTGCTGTTAGTGATGCTGCAGCCCTGCTGTTAGTGATGCGGTTAGTGATGCTGTTAGTGATGCTGCAGCCCTGCTGTTAGTGATGCTGCAGCTCTGCTGTTAGTGATGTTGCAGCCCTGCTGTTAGTGATGCTGTTAGTGATGCTGCAGCTCTAATGTTAGTGATGCTGTTAGTGATGCTGCAGCTCTGCTGTTAGTGATGCTGTTGGTGATGCTGCAGCCCTGCTGTTAGTGATGCTGTTAGTGATGCTGCAGCCCTGCTGTTAGTGATGCTGTTAGTGATGCTGCAGCTCTGCTGTTAGTGATGCTGTTAATGATGCTGCAGCTCTGCTGTTAGTGATGCTGTTAGTGATGCTGCAGCCCTGCTGTTAGTGATGCTGTTAGTGATGCGGTTAGTGATGCTGTTAGTGATGCTGCAGCCCTGCTGTTAATGATGCTGCAGCCCTGCTGTTAGTGATGCTGCAGCCCTGCTGTTAGTGATGCTGCAGCTCTGCTGTTAGTGATGCTGCAGCTCTGCTGTTAGTGATGCTGCAGCCCTGCTGTTAGTGATGCTGCAGCCCTGCTGTTAGTGATGCTGCAGCCCTGCTGTTAGTGATGCGGTTAGTGATGCTGTTAGTGATGCTGCAGCCCTGCTGTTAGTGATGCTGCAGCCCTGCTGTTAGTGATGCTGCAGCTCTGCTGTTAGTGATGTTGCAGCCCTGCTGTTAGTGATGCTGTTAGTGATGCTGCAGCTCTAATGTTAGTGATGCTGTTAGTGATGCTGCAGCTCTGCTGTTAGTGATGCTGTTGGTGATGCTGCAGCCCTGCTGTTAGTGATGCTGTTAGTGATGCTGCAGCTCTGCTGTTAGTGATGCTGTTAGTGATGCTGCAGCCCTGCTGTTAGTGATGCTGTTAGTGATGCTGCAGCTCTGCTGTTAGTGATGCTGTTAGTGATGCTGCAGCCCTGCTTGGCCAGACCACACGCACAACTCAGGACTAAATCATTCATTGATGTCAATTTAAAGATTTGCGCATGAATGTCAAGTTAGAATACCATTAATGCGTGCAATACCAGTACCCCTACACAGTGTGATATGATAAACATACCCATGGAGGCACCACATTATACCACCTGAGCTGGTAACCCATATCATTGCCACTCATTCATTAAAGCCTATAGATGCTTTAATAATGCCCTTCTCATGACATTGCTTGTTTCTGTCTGTCTCTGTGCTGTGTGCCGTCCGGCCGGCCGGCCTCTGCGATCCTCCCCTCCCTCTCTAACCCACTACTAGACGTGCCCCGGCTAACGGACCTCAACTTCGTCGACGTCACCGACACGACGATCGGCCTGAAGTGGAACCCGCTGAACTATACGGCGGTCACCGGCTACCGTATCACGGTGACGGCGGCCGGGGAGAGCGTGCCCGTATTCGAGGACATGGTGGAGGCCACCACCGGGTATTACACCGTGCACGGACTGGAGCCCGGCATCGATTATGACATCTCAGTCATCACCGTCACAGAGAGTGGAGAGAGCGAACCCACCACGCTCACGCAGCAAACTGGTAATCATTATAAGAATAAGAATTTTCATGGATTGAAAGATACTAGTGAAGTGGGTTGATGAACACTTTCACTAGGGGACTGGAGGAGATCAGGGGAGGTAGATCAGTGAGATCAGGGGAGGTAGATCAGGGGAGGTAGATCAGGGGAGGTAGATCAGGGGAGGGAGATCAGGGGAGGGAGATCAGGGGAGGTAGACTCTGACTCTCATATTACTGTTTGTGTTTATGTCATGGTGTAATGGTAGTGTCATGGTGTAATGGTAGTATGGTGGTGTAATGGTAGTGTCATGGTGTAATGGTAGTGTCATGGTGTAATGGTAGTGTCATGGTGTAATGGTAGGGTCATGGTGTAATGGTAGTGTCATGGTGTAATGGTGGTGTAATGGTAGTGTCATGGTGTAATGGTAGTGTCATGGTGTAATGGTAGTGTCATGGTGTAATGGTAGTGTCATGGTGTAATGGTAGTGTCATGGTGTAATTGTAGGGTCATGGTGTAATGGTAGTGTAATGGTAGTGTCATGGTGTAATGGTAGTGTCATGGTGTAATGGTATATGGTGGTGTAATGGTAGGGTCATTGTGTAATGGTGGTGTAATGGTAGTGTCATGGTGGTAATGGTAGTGTCATGGTGTAATGGTAGTGTCAGTGGTGTAATGGTAGGTCATGGTGTAATGTGTAGGGTCGCATGGTGTAATGGTAGTGTAATGTAGTGTCATGGGTTTGTAATGGTAGTGTCATGGTGTAATGGTAGGTCATGGTGTAATTGTAGGGTAATGGTTTGTAATGGTAGTGTAATGTAGGTAGTGTCATGGTGTAATGGTAGTGTCATGGTGTAATGGTAGTTATGGTGGTTGTAATGGTAGTGTCATGGTGTAATTGTAGGGTCATGGTGTAATGGTAGTGTCATGGTGTAATGTGGTGTGAATGGTAGTGTCATGGTTGTAATGGTATGGTTGTGGTGGTAATGGTAGTATGGTGGTGTAATGGTAGGGTCATGGTGTAATGGTGTGTAATGGTGTAATGGTAGTGTAATGGTGTGTAATGGTGTGTAGTAATGGTAGTGTATGGTGTAATGGTAGTGTCATGGTGTAATGGTAGTGTCATGGTGTAATGGTATGTTGGGTAATGGGTGTCGGTAATGGTAGTGTCATGGTGTAATGGTAGGTCATGGTGTAATGGTAGTGTCATGGTGTATGGTGTGTATGGTGTAATGGTGGTAATGGTAGTTCTGGGTAATGGTATGATGGTGTAATGGTAGGGTCATGGTGTAATGTGGTGTTGGTTTAATGGTAGTGTCATGGTGAATGGGTAATGTCGTGTCATGGTGTAATGGTAGTGTCATGGTGTAATGGTGGTGTAATGGTTGTTCAGGGAATGGTAGTGTCATGGTGTTGTAGTATTGGGGTATGGTTGTCATGGTAGTAGTATGGTTTGTAATGGTAGTGTCATGGTGTAATGGTAGTGTAATGGTGGGAGGTCATGGTGTAATGGTAGTGTCAGGTGTAATGGTAGTATGGTGTATGGTGGGTAATGGTGGTATGTGTATGGTGTTTGGTTAATGGTGTATGGGGTAATGGTGTCTGGTGTAATGGTGTGTATGGTGTAATGGTAGGGGTCAATGGTGTAATGGTAGTGTCAATGGTGTAATGGTAGTGTCATGGGTATGTGTATGGGGTGTAATGGTAGGTCATGTGGTGTAAGTGGTGTAATGGTAGTGTCATGGTGTATGGTAGTGTCATGGTGTAATGGGAGTGTCTGGTGATGGTTTGGGGTAATGGTAGTATGGTGGTGGTAATGGTAGGTCATGGTGTGTATGGTGTAAGGATTTGTTAATGGTAGTGTCATGGTGTAATGGTAGTGTCATGGTGTAATGGTAGTGTCATGGTGTAATGGTAGTATGGTGGTGTAATGGTAGGGTCATGTTGGTGTAATGGTGTAACGGTAGTGTCATGGTAGTGTCATGGTGTAATGGTAGTGTCATGGTGTAATGGTAGTGTCATGGTGTAATGGTAGGTCATGGGTGTAATGGTAGTATGGTAATGTGGTGTAATGGTAGGTCATGTGTGTATGTAAGGGTCATGGTTAAGGTGTCATGGTGGGGTAATGGTAGGTCATGGTGTAATGGTAGTGTCATGGTTGATGGTAATGGGTATGGTAGTGTATGGGTAATGGTAGTGGTGGTGTAATGGTAGGGTCATGTTGGTGTAATGGTGTAACGGTAGTGTCATGGTAGTGTCATGGTGTAATGGTAGTGTCATGGTGTAATGGTAGTGTCATGGTGTAATGGTAGTGTCATGGTGTAATGGTAGTATGGTGGTGTAATGGTAGGTCTGGGTAAGTGGTCAGTGTCATGGTGTAATGGTAGTGTCATGGTTAATGGTAGTCATGGTGTTGGTAGTATGGTGTATGTAGGTCATGGTGTAATGTGTATGGTGGTGTCATGGGCAGTGGTAATGGGATGTGTAATGGGTGTCATGGGGTATGGTAGTGTCTGGGTGTTGTAATGGTAGGTGTCATGGTTGGTAGTGTATGGTGTGTAATGGTAGTGTCATGGTGTATGTATGGTGTAATGGTAGTGTCATGGTGTAATGGTAGTGTTATGGTGTAATGGTGGTTGGTAAGTGTATTGGTGTAATGGTAGTGTCATGGTTGTATGTAATGGGTGTGTAGGGTGGTAATGGTCTGGTGTAGTAGTGTCATGTGTAGTGTCATGTGGTTGTAATGGTAGGGTCATGGTGTAATGGTAGTGTCATGGTGTAATGGTGTAATTGGTGGTGTAATGGTAGGTCATGGTGTAATGGTAGTCATGGTGTATGTAATGGTCAGGGTCATGGTGAATGTTAGTGTCATGGTTGTTTGGTATTCATGGTGGGTCAGGAGTAGTGCAGTGTTGGCAGCTCACGTTACATGTGATATTCGTTAAAGTGTGTGTATTAGTGCATGGGTGGTTGTCATGGTGTAATGTATGTCTGTTGTCACAGGGTTCTCTATGGTGGGTTACATGGTGGGTTGATAACTGAGTTTTTCATTTGTAATGGTAGTGTCATGAGTAACTGGTTTTGGTGGTGTAATGCGTATGTCATGGTGTGAATGTGGTTCATGCGTGAATGAGTATGTGTTGTAATGTAGGGCTGGGATGAATGGTAGAGGTCGGATGGTGAATGTAGCATGGTTTAGAGTAGGGTCATGGAACGAGTCATGGGCACTAGTACATGGTACTTCATGTGTAATGGTGTGTCTGGTGTCATTTGCTGATCTGTTCGGTCTATGGTTTAGTTTGGGACATATTCATTGTGATGCTGCAGGATGTTACGGTGTTAGTTTGCCCCACCTCACTCCACTGTTTCTACATCTGAATTCTTCAACACAAGTGAGTTTCCCTGAAGTGGGTCCTGACCGTAATACCTGATATCTCTTTGTCCCACAGCTGTTCCTCCCCCTACTAACCTGGGTTTCCCTGAGGTGGGTCCTGACCGTAATACCTGATATCTCTTTGTCCCACAGCTGTTCCTCCCCCAACTAACCTGGGTTTCCCTGAGGTGGGTCCTGACCGTATGCAGGTGACCTGGACAGCTCCTGTGGTTCCTGACCCCGCTGACATCAACAGCTTCGTGATTCGCTACCACCCCATCGATGACGAGGATGACATCACAGAAAGCAGCGTCGGCGGGAACGACGACACCGTGGTTCTTAAGAGTAAGGGCTCAGAGAACACACACACTCATGGACACACACACACACACACACACACACACACACATTCCTGATGACTGTTAATAGTGTTTTGCTTCTACTAGTCACTGACTGATGCTGTGTATCCTTGTCTGTGTGTCCCTCTAGACCTGATTTCCAACACGGAGTACCTGGTCAGTGTGGTGTGTGTTTACGAAGAGAGGGAGAGCTCACCTCTGGTCGGCACCCACAAAACGAGTGAGTTTCACTTGAATTATTTGATTTTAGTATCTGTTTTTGGTATCCGTCCTTTTTTGAAATGTTTCCTAAATGACTCCTGATGTATGTTTTCTACCCTCAGCCCTGGACTCCCCCAGCGGTCTGCAGTTCTCAGAGGTCCTGACCAACTCCTTCACGGTGCACTGGCAGGCCCCCAACGCCATCATCACCGGCTACCGGATCCGTTACCAGATGACCAGCGGCGGGCGGGCCAAGGACGAGAGGCTGCCGCCATCCAGGAACCACTTCACCCTGACCAGCCTGACCCCCGAGACGGAATACATCGTCAATATCTATGCCGTCAGCGGCCAGCAGGACAGCAAGCCGCTCTCTGGAAAACAGAAAACCAGTACGACCTCATCTTTACTTTTCACACACTCTTTAAGTTTACCTTGATTCATTGCTTCCTTCATTTCAGCCAATTCCCTACCCCTACGATAAGACCTGTTGACAGCCAATCCCGGTTCCCTACCCGTACGATAAGACCCGTTGACAGCCAATCCCGGTTCCCTACCCCTACGATAAGACCCGTTGACAGCCAATCCCGGTTCCCTACCCCTACGATAAGACCCGTTGACAGCCAATCCCGGTTCCCTACCCCTACGATAAGACCCGTTGACAGCCAATCCCGGTGCCCTACCCCTACGATAAGACCCGTTGACAGCCAAATCCCGGTTCCCTACCCTACGATAAGACCCGTTGACAGCCAATCCCGGTTCCCTACCCCTACGATAAGACCCGTTGACAGCCAATCCTGGTTCCCTACCCCTACGATAAGGACCTGTTGACAGCCAATCCCGGTTCCCTACCCCTACGATAAGACCTGTTGACAGCCAATCCCGGTTTCCCTACCCCTACGATAAGACCCGTTGACAGCCAATCCTGGTTCCCTACCCCTACGATAAGACCCGTTGACAGCCAATCCCTGTTCCCTACCCCTACGATAAGACCCGTTGACAGCCAATCCCGGTTCCCTACCCCTACGATAAGACCTGTTGACAGCCAATCCCAGTTCCCTACCCCTACGATAAGACCTGTTGACAGCCAATCCCGGTGCCCTACCCCTACGATAAGACCTGTTGACAGCCAATCCCGGTTCCCTACCCCTACGATAAGACCTGTTGACAGCCAATCCTGGTTCCCTACCCCTACGATAAGACCTGTTGACAGCCAATCCCGGTTCCCTACCCCTACGATAAGACCTGTTGACAGCCAATCCCGGTTCCTACCCCTACGATAAGACCTGTTGACAGCCAATCCCGGTTCCCTACCCCTACGATAAGACCTGTTGACAGCCAATCCCAGTTCCCTACCCCTACGATAAGACCTGTTGACAGCCAATCCCGGTTCCCTACGATAAGACCTGTTGACAGCCAATCCCGGTTCCCTACCCCTACGATAAGACCTGTTGACAGCCGATCCCGGTTCCCTACCCCTACGATAAGACCTGTTGACAGCCAATCCCGGTTCCCTACCCCTACGATAAGACCTGTTGACTTTACACACATCCCCTGAATCCCAAATCAACCCCTAGCCCCTACTCCCAAGGCATATGTAGATCTGAGAGGGTTGGATAGGTGTCTAACCAATATGGTGGTTGCTCCAACTTGCCCTCTGATAGGTCACGGGAAAATGTTGCCATTGTTGCTATCATCCATCCAATTCTCTCAGCTCTCCACAGGAATCCAGGGGCTGGGGGTTGATTTGGTCTTTAGGGATCCTTTTGGTTTATTTCAATGTTTCTGTCATTCTCACCGTCTGTCTCTTGCTTCCTCCTCCTTGTTGTGTCCCCTAGTCCTCTGACTCTCCTACTGACCTGGAGGTAGTGTCGTCCTCCCCCACCAGCATCACAATCCGCTGGGGACGCCCCCTCTGTTACCGTGAGGTACTACAGGATCACCCATGGAGAGTCAGGTCTGTCCGGTACATTAACTAGCCTGGCCTTAACTAGTCTACCCTTAACTAGTCTATCCTTAACTAGTCTACCGTTAACTAGTCTAGCCTGTTATTGTGAGGTACTGCTATGATCACCATGGAGAGTCTGACCTGTCAGGTGAGGTAGCTTGCACTGCTATGATCAGCCCACAGAAAGTCTGGTAGTTTAGCTAGCCTTCGATTGCTAATGTGATTGTCATCAATTTCACAAGTCTGGCAAACACAAAGAGCACCTTACCATATGCAGTCTTATTGAATTTTTGGCTCACCATTCTTTAGCTTTTTCAAATATAATGTTGTTTTTTTATCTATAGCTTGTTTGCTGTTACCCCCCCAACCCCCAGGGGGCCACAGCCCCCTAAAAGTTCACTGCCCCGGGTTTCCCCCCATCTACCGCCACCATCCGAACCTGGGCCGGGTACTGACCCCCATCACAGTCTACGCTTGACCGGAAAGGGGGACAGCCCGCCTCCGCACCCCCATCTACGCTCCACAAGACGGTACACATGGGGACACCACCCCGACACCAGGGGAAAAACCCCCTGAAACCTGGGGCCCCCCCTGCCCAGGGGGAAAACCCCCTGACTACCATGGGGACCCCTACTCCAGGGGGACAACCCCTAACAAACATGGAACCCCCGCCAAACTTCCGGGTTCTGTCTCCGGGCCCGACTGGAACCCAGGGGGGGGCCCCAAAATTGGCCCAGCTGTCCGGGGTAGGGGAGGGAAGGCCCGGGCGGGTGTAGCTCATAACATGGTTTTTTGCAACGCCGGGTTGTGGGTTGTTTCCCACGGGGGGCCATATAAAAAAAATGTTGCACTCGCTTAACTGTATCGCTCGGATAAGAGGTCTGCTAATGACTAAAAGTAAATGTAAACCCTTTCCCTTTTAGGTTTTTCCTTTCCCCTTTCCTCTGCTTTCTTTGGACTCTAGGGCCGGTTACGTATTTAAAAAAAGTTGTGGTTTCCCTGCCCTTACCTTGATTAATCCTTTGGATAAAAGCGTCTGCTAAAGGCTTTTTATTATTATTATTATTTTATTATTTTAAATTTTTAAAAGGGGTTGATTGATCAGGGGTGTTAGATGTTTTTTTTTAAAAATCCTTTTTTCTTATACCCTGTCCTGGTTTTTTAAAGTGGGCTAAAGTACTTCGGGTGTGCCTTCACGGTTTTTGACTTGGCTCCTCTCCCCCTCGCGTAGATTTGAGTCTCCTCTCTCTTAATATTGGTCTCCTATCTTGTAGATTTTCTCCTCTCGCTGTAAATTGATTCTCCTCTCTGTAGAATTGAGTCTCCCCTCCTCTCTTTGTAGATATTTAGTCCCTCTCTGTAATATTGAGTCTCCCCCTCTTAGAAATTTAGTCCCTCTCGCGTGATATTATCCCTCTCGCTTGATATTGAGTCCCCTCGCTGTAATTTGATCTCCTCTCGCTGTAATTTGGGGTCTCCTCCGCTGTAGAATTTTAGTCTCCTCTCGCTGTAGAAAATTGAGTCTCCTCTCGCTGTAGATTTGGTCTCCTTCGCGTGATATTTTTCCTCCTCTGAGTATTTATTTTCCTCTCCTCCTCTTAATATTATCCCCCCTCCCTGTAATTTTAGTCCCTCTCGCTGTAAATATTATCTCCTCCCTTTTGATTTTAGTCTCCCTCGGTAAAAATTGAGTCTCCTCTCCTGTAGATTTGATCTCCTCTCTCTGTAGAATTGAGTCCCTCTTGTTTAAAATTGAGTCTCCCTCTCTGGATATTAGTCTCCTCTCTCGTAGATATTTAGTCCCCCTCTCTGTAATGTTGAGTCTCCTCCGCTGTAGAATTGAGGGCTCCTCTCGCGTAGAAGGTCCCTCTCCTCTCGCTGTAAATTGGTCTCCTCTCGGAGATATTGATTCCCCTCTCTCTGTAGTTGAGCTCCTCTCTCTTTAAAAATTTTATTCCCCTCGGTAGATATTGAGTCTCTCTCGCTGTAGATATTGGGGTCCTCCTCTCTCGTAGATTTGATCTCCTCTCTGTGATTTGAGTCTCCTCTCGCTGTGATAGGGGTTCCCCCCTCTCTCTGTAAATTTGGGCTCCTCTCTCTGTAATTTGAGTTCCCTCGCTGTAGATTTGGTCTCCTCCCCCCCCCCCGTAAAATTTGACCCTCTTCTGTAGATGTTTGTCTCCCCCTTTCCCGTAGATATTGGTCTCCTCTCCGTAATTTGATTTTCCTCTCCTCTCCTGTAATATGAGTCTCCCCTCTGTAATATTGAGCCCTCCCCTGTAAATTAGTCCCTCTCCTGTAAATTGATCTCCTCTCCTTAGATATTATTCTCCTCTCTCTGTAGAATTTGGCTCCCCTCTCTTGATATTGAGTCTCCCTCTCTGTAGATATTGATCTCCCCTCGCTGTAATTTGATCTCCTCTCTCTTAGATATTTATCCCCTCCTGTAGATATTGAGTCTCCTCTCGCTGTAATATTGATCTCCTCTCCCCCGTAAAATTTAGTCTCCCCTCTTTAAATTTTGGTCTCCTCTCTCTGTAATATTTAGCTCCTCTCTTAGATTTGAGTCTCCCCTCTCTGTGTATTGAGTCTCCTCCTCTGTAGATATTGAGTCTCCTCCTCTTATTTGATCCCTCTCCTGTAGATTTGACTCCTCTCGTGTAGATATTGAGTCTCCTCTCCTCCGCGTAATATTATCTCCCTCTGTAATATTGGTCCCTCTCTCTGTAGATATTATCTCCTCTCTCTGTAAATTGATTCCCCTCGCCGGGAGATATTTATCTCCTTCTCGTAATTTGAGTCTCCTCTCTCTGTAGAATTGAGTCTCCTCTCGCGTGATTTATCTCCCTCTCTGTAATTTGAGTATCCCTCTCTTTAACTTATCCCTCTCTCTGTATATTAGTCTCCCCTCTCGGGGATTTGAGTCTCCTCTCGCTTAGATATTATTTTCCCCTCTCTTAATTTGAGTTTCCCCCTCCTTGAATTTTATCCCCCTCTCTCGTAATATTGATCCCTCTCCTGTAGATATTTTCTCCTCTCTCTGTAGATATTGAGTCTCCTCTCTCTTTGAATTTAGTTTTCCTCTCCCCCCGTAGATAGAGTCCCCTCCCTCCGCTGTGAATTTAGTCTCCTCTCTCTGAGATAATTTTTCCTTTCTGTAAATTGAGTCTCCCTCTCTTAATATTGGTCCCCTCCTGTAAATTATCCCCTCGCTGTAATTTTGAGTCCCCCTCTGTAGATTTGAGTCTCCTCCCTGAATATTGAGTCTCCTCTCCTTAGATTTGATCTCCTCTCCTCTCCTTAGAAATTTAGTCTCCTCCCGTAATATTAGTCTCCTCCCTGTAGATATTGAGTCTCCTCCGCTAATATTGGTCTCCTCTCGCTGTAATTTGGCTCCTTCCCCTTAATTTTGATCCCTCTCGCGTGATATTGAGTTTTTCCCTCGCTGTAGATTTGAGTCTCCTCTCGCTTAAATTTTAGTCTCCTCTCGCTTTAATATTGGGTTTCCCCTCCTGTAAATATTGATCCCCCTCCGCTGTAATATTTAGTCTCCCCCGCGTGATTTGAGTCTTCTCCTTAGATATTTGGGCTCCTCTCCTGTGAATTGAGTTTTCCCCCTTTTGCTGTAGATATTAGTCTCCTCTCTCTCTAAAGTTTATCTCCTCTCCTCTTTCTCTCTAGACATTGAGTCTCCGTCGGAAAATGGAGGTGCTGACGTTACGGACAGCACCATCCCGTGCGGTTGGTCCCCGGCCCAGGGGCCCTGTCAAGGGGTACAGGATCACTGGGGGTCCCCAGGAACGGACAGGGTCCCTCCTTCTCTGAGACCGTCGCTCCAGGTAGAATAACCTCCTGGCTCTGGCTGACTTGTAGGCTAATGTCCGCAAATCAGAATACTTCCCAGCACAACAGACAACGTTCCCAGAGATCTTCCACTTTTTCTTACTGCTGCTGTGTTAAACATATGGCTGTTAAGGACTTTTTGATAACCATAACACCCAATAATCACTGGCACTGAGGCTTTTAAAATGTTTTCAATATCAACATTTTGGTTCATTATAGTTTTGGCGTAGTCAGGTAACTGATTTAGTTCTGTGCCATATCCTGTATGTAAATAACTGTATATCTCTGGTATTTTAGATCAGACAGAGATGACGTTCTCTGGCCTGCAGCCCACAGCAGAGTACATCCTCAGCGTTTATGCTCTGGGACAAGACGGAGAGAGCCCTCCCCTGGTGGAGACTGCTGTTACTGGTGAGTGTTCTTCATATGTGTGCTGTGCTGGTCCCCCACCCTTCCCTCTGGCCCTAACTATTGTGTGTTTGTAGATATATAGGGTATAGATAGGTCTATGCAGTGTAGTGGTTGACCTTCTACCATATTACCTCCACTGTTATACACTACCAGTCAAAAGTTTGGACACACCTACTCATTCAAGGGTTTTTCTTTATTTTTACTATTTTCTACATTGTAGAATGATAGTGAAGAAATCAAAACTATGAAATAACACATATGGAATCATGTAGTAACAAAAAAGTGTTAAACAAATCAAAATATATTTTATATTTCAGCTTCTTCAAATAGCCACCCTTTGCCTTGACGACAGCTTTGCACACTCTTGGCATTCTCTCAACCGGATTCACCTGGAATGCTTTTCCAACAGTCTTGAAGGAGTTCCCACATATGCTGAGCACTTGTTGGCTGCTTTTCCTTCAATCTGCGGTCCAACTCATCCCAAACCATCTCAATTTGGGTTGAGGTCGGGTGATTGTGGAGGCCAGGTCATCTGATGCAGCACTCCATCACTCTCCTTCTTGGTCAAATAGCCCTTACACAGCCTGGAGGTGTGTTGGGGTCATTGTCCTGTTGAAAAACAAATGATATTCCCCACTATGCTCAAACAAGATGGGATGGCGTATCGCTGTGGTAGCCATGCTGGTTAAGTGTGCCTTGAATTCTAAATAAATCACTGACATTGTCACCAGCAAAGCACCCACAACCATCACACCTCCTCCTCCATGCTTCAACGGTGGGAACCACACATGCGGAGATCATCCGTTCACCCTACTCTGCGTCTCACAAAGACACGGCGGTTGGAACCAAAAATCTCAAATTTGGACTCATCAGACCAAAGGACAGATTTCCACCGGTCTAATGTCCATTACTCGTGTTTCTTCGCCCAAGCAAGTTTCTTATTATTGGTGTCCTTTAGTAGTGGTTTCTTTGCATCAATTTGACCTATGAAGGCCTGATTCACGCAGTCACCTCTGAACAGTTGATGTTGAGATGTGTCTGTTACTTGAACTCTGTAGCATTTATTTGGGCTTCAATTTCTGAGGCTGGTAACTCTAATGAACTTATCCTCTGCAGCAGAGGTAACTCTGGGTCTTCTTTTCCTGTGGTGGTCCTCATGAGAGCCAGTTTCATCATAGCGCTTGATGGTTTTTGCGACTGCACTTGAAGAAACTTGATTGA